ATGAGGTAAATGCTAAATATATACATATATGTGTGTATATATTATGTATACATATATGGATGTATTGTACACACATATATATATACTTATATACCTACGTGCACATTGTTGTTGTTGAATTGTTTCAGGCGTGTCTGACCCGCCAAGACCCTATTTGGGGTTTTCTTGCCAAAGATACTAGAGTGGTTTGCCTTTTCCTTCTCCAGTTCATTTTTATAGCTGAGGAACTAAGGTAAATAGGGTTAAGTGACTTGTCCAGGGTCACACAGCTAGAAAGTGTCTGAGGCCGAATTTGAACTCAGGAAGATAAGTCTTCCTGATTCCAAGCCCAGTGTTCTATCCACTCTGCCACCTGGCTGCCTGCATATGCATATGCATGCATATATATGTACATACATATGTGTGTATATATTTTACAGATGAAGAAACTAAGGCCTAAATCCCATAGAAGCGACAAAGCCAGGACTCACACTCAGCTCTTCTGAGTCCACATCAGTTGATCTTTTTGTTACCCTGTGCTACCTCTTCCTTCCAATTCATATTTGCCATGGACCTTCTCCCAGCTTGATTACAGACATGGGCCCTCACAACAATAGATGCTATCTGATCCTAGCTTGTATAATCAATGGCTGGTTGCTATCACCCCCATAAATCAGAGACTTGGGCTCAGGACTGAATGGCCTGGTAAATGCACCTTGGTTTTAAATTGAAAAAGTCCTATTACTTTAGCTCATGGTTTTGTCACCTGGACCCAGTTATTGACAGAATCAGAATACCAGAAAACTAATCCTTTTGGCAGGTTGGGATATAATTTTGGGTTTGCAAAGAATCATTTTTCTGTGGCTGGGATTTTGATTCAAAGTAGATTTTTTGCGATTTTAGAGTGAGGAAGGAGATTATATCCCATTAAGATAAATGCTATGGTTGTTCTAGACAACCTGTTGTTTTTCAACACCACCCAGATACGGAATGACAGGAAGAGAGATAAGTTTTGGTCTGATCTCAGAATCTGGTGCAATCTTCCATGATTAACCCCTTCCCACCTTCTACCCCCAGATTCTCTCAAGTTCTAATGGGATTGAAGGAAGGAAAGGTCTCCTATATGTTTGATCAAGGGATAAGGAGAAACACTAGTCTCTGCTTTGCTTTACACTTGTAACTCTGAGATAGAAAATTCATTCATATTCATAGAATTATAGGAATTCTTAGGTTGTTCATAGAATTATAGCAATCAAAGCTTAAAAGTTCATTCAAGATCATCTGATCAAACTCCCTCATTTTCAAGATGAAGAAACTGAGGTCCAGAAAAGTCAAGTAACTAACTTATGGTTATACAGCTAGTAAGCAGCAATGCAAAAGATGAGCAGATTTACAAACTAAGACAGTTACAATTTTTTGCACTAATAAAACTTTTAAAGAGCTAATTAGATGACAAAATGTAACTGCTAGCATATCATCTCTTCTACTCAGTGTCAGTCTCTGGGTAGGATCCTTAAAAAATAGTTTAATGACTCTAAAAGACCATCCAAAAATGGAATGGTGTGGTGGGTTTGCCCTTCTTGGAGGCTGTCCAGCAGAGAATGATCACTTGTCAGATACATGATAGTGGGAACCTAATCTATGCATTGGACTAGATGACTGCTGAGCTCCTTTCTAACCTTCAAATTCTATTATTCTGATCAAAGGAGGGAAAAAGAAAATCAAGGGAACAGTATAACGAGATTAAATCATCAGGAACTGACAGACGTTGTGATAAGAATCAGTCTTCTACACCATAATAAGCTCCAAATAGATATACATGACCTAGATGGAAAGAATCATATAATTTAAAATTAGGAGAGCCAGGAAAAAAAAATCTTTCACAACTATGGAGAAGGGGGGAAGTCATGACCAAAAACGTGATAGAAAGGATCATGGAAGACAAAAGAAGCAATTTTGATCACATAAAATCAAGTTTTTGCACCAACAAATCAATGTAGTTAAAATCAGAAGGGAAACAGTTAACTAAGGGAAAAACCTTTGCAACAAGTTTTTCTGATAAGGGTCTCATTTCCAAGATACATAAGCAACTGATTCAAATATACAGGAATAGCAATCTTTCCCCAATAGATAAATGGTCAAAAAAGATAAAAGGTCAAAAAGCAATTCTGAAAGGAAGAGATTCAAGCTATCAACCCTGACCTTCTGCCTCACACACATTAGAATGGCAAAGATGATAAAAATGGAAAATGATCATTATTGGAGGGGCTTAGAAAAGTCAGGCAAGTTGATACACTGTTGGTGGGGCTGTGAATTTATCCTGCCATTCTGGAAAAAATAATTTGGAACTATACCCCCAAATTCACTAAACTTTGTATATCCTTTGGTCTAACGATACCTCTACTAAGCCTACAACCCAAAGAGATCAAAGAGGGGAAAGTGCATATGCATAAAAATATTTATACCACCTCTCTTTGTTGTGACAAAGAATGGGAAGCTAAGGGATTACTCATTAATTGGGGAACAATTGAGCAAATAATGGTATATGAATGTAATGAAATATTTTAGCACCATAAGAAATAATGAAAGATGACTTCAGTCAAACTTGGAAAGACTGAATGAACTGATGCAGAGTTAAGTGAGCAGAACTCAGGAGAACAACATATTATTTTAAAATAGATTTTATTAATATCTTTTGTCTTTAATTAGCTACATTTCCTCTCTATTCCTCCCCCTCTTCTTCCCAGAACTGTTTAATTAAAACCAATAAACATATTAAAATAATCTGACATTATATGCAGTGCTCTATGCCCATTAAACACTAACCTCTTATATAAAATGAAAGAGTAAGGTATATTGATGACTAGAAACATGCTGGAGCTGAAATCCTTCATAAGCAAGTCAAGTTCAACAAAAGCTTCAAATCTCCATTGGGCGATGCTGTGTCATTAGCACAGAGAGAATTAATTTCTGCTTTCTTACTTTAATTTTCTTTCCTATTGAAAAACAACAACAACAAAATATAACTATTTAAAACACGATCTTTTCCTTTAATCACATCCCAAGATTTTCTTGTCAATATAAATGGCAAAATCAACTGTCACAGTTTCAAGTCAAAAAGAAAAAGAAATAATTCTTCTTCAGTCCATTTTCATATGCAAAAGCGATGTCTCAGTAGAGTTTTATATTTAGCTAAAAGCTAGACTCCTTTGACTCTCTTTCCTCATTCAATCTTTCCAAGTTTGACTGAAGCCATCTTTCATTATTTCTTATAATGCTAAAATATTTCATTACATTCATATACCATTATTTGTTCAATTGTTCCCCAATTAATGAGTAATCCCTTAGCTTCCCATTCTTTGTCACAACAAAGAGAGGTGGTATAAATATTTTTATGCATATAAGACTCTTTCCCCTCTTTGATCTCTTTGGGTTATAGGCTTAGTAGAGGTATCATTAGACCAAAGGATATACAAAATTTAGTGAATTTTGGGGTATAGTTCCAAATTATTTTTTCCAGAATGGCTTCCAAGAAGCCAGAGAGATATCTTTTCATATATCTTCTATGGGGCCAAGATTTTTTTGATAATTTCACTACATTCCATTTCAAACTAGTGATAACTAGTGTTTAGCTAGCTCCATTTCAAGCTAAGGATGGTGTTGCTAAAAGCAAAAAATAAAAGAAACAAAAGAGGGTCATCAAAGCATTTTTTAAAGAATTCACAGAAGTGAACAGAGGAAAACATAATGAGCAAGACAGCTTTGCATATTTGTTGTTATTTTTTATAAATAAAGGAATTATTTCTATTATTTATTTAGTGGAAGATTTTTTATTGTTCAGTTTGAGGAGCAGGGGGAGGGAGGGATAATTAACACTTGCAAAAATAAAAAAGTAACATTGAATTTATTGTACTTTTCTTTTTAAGTAAGCTGTATATAATAGGGATTTACAGTTTCACAGATACTCCTCATTTTTTTTTATATGGAACTGTTCTCTCTTTTTTGGTGATTTTTAAATTTAATTAAGAGCAAAAACATTAAATTAGAAAAAATCAGCTTTACTTCCCTGGTACTCAGAGTGTGCAAATACCACTGTTAAACATGTCCCATGTGATCTAGTCCAGTCTAAGTTAAAGTGATATTTTGTTAGGTGGCAAGAATGATCCATTAGATTGTAAACTCCTTGAGGGCAAAAACTTTCTTTTTTCATGTTTGTATCTCCAGTGGTTAGTATAGTGCCTGGCTCATAGTAGGTGCTTAATAAATTTTTATTGACTATTGACTGATCTTGGGAATTCCACAAATGTATATTTCTTGTAGATTTATAATGAAATAAAACACAAAGCAAATCTGGCTATATCATCTAGAAACAGATTTCCACTGCAAAATGAATAGAAAACATCTGAATGTGTATACTGAAAACAGGACACAATGGATTAATGCACTTTTATTATCCCTGCTTTTGAGAGTAACTAAAGGCCTTTCTGAGCAGACCTCTCTTCATTCTTTCCTTTCTCCTTTTTCCTCCTCCCACTTTGCACATAAACTAATCAATCAACAAGTATTTTTTAGGTGTCAACTATGTGCCCAGAGCTGACTGTGGAGAAGACACTTGGCCGGGGGGGGGGGGGGGGGGGGGGGGGGAGGGGCGCGGCTCTCATTGTTCTTGGAATCTGTTATAGGCTTGCACTGGTCATCAGACTCTACTGAACATAAATGGTCACAGAGTTCATTCAGGATTGACATTTGGCTGTCCTGCCTTGGGTAAAAAGGGAGAGAGTTTTTTTCTCTTCTCACCATTCAACTTCCACTTGTCCCAGGGAAACAGCAACCACTTGGCACGGGAAAAGTCTAGGTGGAGCAGATTCCTGAGAAATGAGGATGAAGCTGCTCTTGCCTGACTACCCAGCCCTATTGACCCTTGTTAACCCTGATCCTGAGAGAGCAGGGACATTCCATATTTCACTCCCAGGGAGTTCAGGCCATGTATAAAGCAAAAGAGCCTGGGAAGTTGTAACAGAAAGGAGCTGGACCTAGAGGAGGGTGGGGAGGGGCCAGTGAGTAAAGGAGAGAGAAGCTAATAACTGCAAAAGCTCAGTGAGTGAGGAGGACCAGAAGGAGGAGGAGAAGGAGGGGCTCAGGAGGGCTGGAGTAAGCTCTGCTCCTAACCACGGGTGGAGGGGCAGAAAGGACGTGGATGGGGGGCGAATAACGTAGAGCTGCCACTGGGATTGTGAACAAAGCTGCTGGCTGACTCACAAGTCCTTTGTCAAAATTTATTTTAAAAAAAAAGGAGCCGAGGGAATTTGAGGAAGACTGGAGGGCTCCATAATTCAAAAGGTGCCTGCGCGGTGAGTACAAAGTGAATGAACTCTTTCTTGAAGCTCACCCCCATCCTGCTCCTCACCCCATTTTCAAGAGCAGGGATTCTCAGGTTCACGGTTGTGTTGTATAGAAACTGGGAGGGACCTTAGAAATCACCCAGCCCAGCTTCCTCATTTTATGGAGGAGGAAACTGAGGCCCCGACAGTGGAACTGGCTTTCCTAGAGTCAAACGTATGCTTAGATATATGGCTGGGACCAGAGCTCATGTCTCAGACTTTCCAGTGAGCAACAGAGAAAGTGGCTGGGGGCACAATTAATAGCATCAGTTGTGAGTTAGTGCAGTTATTGATAGCAGGACTGAGGGAGTAACTAGCTTCAAAAGCCCATATGCCAGGGGCTTCTTTGCTCCCCAACTTAATAATTACTGACATTTATATAGCACAGTACAATTTGCAAAGCATTTTAGAGACATCGTCTCATTGGATTGACTCGGTGAGGTCTATCCCCATTTAATAGGGGAGCAAATAGAGGCTCACAGAGATTAAGGGGTTTACCCTTGGTCACATAATTTTCAAGTGCCAAGGCTTAGCAAAATGCCTGGCACATAGCAGGTGCTTAATAAATGTTTACCGACTGATTGATTGATTGAAGTGTTGGAGGCGGCATATTCCTGAGGAACCTCCATATTCCTGACTCTCAGGCCAAGTAACTTATCCACTGAAGCTTGCTGTTTCTGTAGCATTGAGGGAGTCAGTGTATTTCCAAGACTCTCTGTAGTTTGGTGGCTAAGTGGTAGAGTGGGTATAGTGCTAGCCTTGGAGTCAGGAAGACCTGAGTTCAAATCTTGCCAGTGTGACTCTGAGCTAGTCGCTTAACCTCAGTTTCCTTATCTCTAAAATGGGGTAACAGCACCTATCTCCCGGTGTTCTGAGGCTAAAATGAGTTCACATATAGAAGGTCTTTTTCAAACCTTAGAGTGTTCTGTACATGTTAATTATGATGATGATGATATTTAAACTGCTCACCTTAAAGAAGTACCTGTGACATTGGTGTGTTGATTTCTTCTCACAGAAGTTCTAAAGCCATCCGTCAGAGACTGAGACAGGGAAGCAAAGGTTTTCCTCGGGGTGTCTGTGTTCTCTGGGAGTGTTGGGTTCAGCTGGCTCTAGGATCCTTTCTTCGTCTTACAGAAGTGAAGCCTGAGACCCGTCATGCGGGAAGGAACCCTAGTGTTAAAATGTGACCCAAAGGGTCTCTTTAAATAGCACCACAATAAAAATAGATTGGGTTCTACAAAAAAGGGCTTTTTGGGGACTGAGGGTGGGGGGTGGAGACGGGAGAGGAGAGAGAGTGATGCCAAAAAAGAACAACAGTGTAACATTTTAAAAATCACCCAGAAGAGACGCTCAGGAGACAGAGGTACACAGCATAGAGTTGGTGCTACAAGTTAAATGTATTATATACCTTAAAAAAAAAAAATCAAGCTGTACGTAATAGAAACTTTTAGTTTCATATTCAATCCTCTTTTACTTTGTTTTGTATAAAGATATGTTTGTGTTTGTTGATGTTTGTCAAGCTCATAATTTTTAAGCAAATATCTTTTTTTTTTTTTTTTTAAATAGACTGTGTTCCGAGAGACCCTGGAATTTAGCCCATGGTTTCTCCCCCCATCCCCTTCCGCAGGGAAAGGATTTCAACTGGGATTCATCAAGTTTTCAAGCTCACTCTTTGAGCCCAGCAGTGCCAGTTTAATGTTCTAACGTGATACATTGGGTCCTCAGGGATTATTAGGAGGGTGTTGACCATGGGGGTCTTTAAGGTCTGATGTTCCACATGTCAAAATATCCCAGGCTTTTCTAAGGTTATAGCAATGGCTTTTTCCTCTAGGCTTTTAGAAGAGTTGGTTTTCATTCTAGTAAAAACCCATCTACATACCCTGCTTCTAAGTAATCATTCCAGGTATAGTAGGAAAAACTAGCCTTTTACTTAGAAACTGCTTCTGGGCATCGAACAGCAATTGTGTTGGCTAAGCCTTCTGATGGTCTTTGTCTCCCTCCCCTCCCCACAAGGTCCGTCGTTGGAGGCTACTGGAACCACAGAATGTTGTTCTTGCTGCTGCTTTCCACGATGGAGCTGGGGTGGGCAGCACCCGACAGCCCACCAGGCAAAGAAGGTACCGTTGCGCCAAAGGCAATGGCAACTGTCTTTCGAGTTGCCCAGCTTGGTCCCCGGGAGGACAATCTCAGTCTGTCTAGCTTATCTTGCGAGGAGTTCAACAAGACAACAACAGCCACCTTGTTTCTAGCGAACAGAAGCCTTGAAAGCTTCCCTCCCTGTCTGCCAAGGACACTACAAAGCTTAGACCTAAGCAGCAACCAGCTCAAGGAACTGAGAGATCGGGACCTGAGGGACCTCTCCAGTCTTCAAGTTCTTATCCTGAGGAACAATTTGATCCAAGAGCTTCACTTTGGGGAAACTCCTGTCTTTGAGAGCCTTGAAACTCTGGACCTAAGCTACAACAAGCTGTCATCCATGCCCAGCTGCCAAACCATGGTGTTAAGGAACCTGACATGGCTCTCGCTTGTGGGAAATCCTATTCTGGAAATCCAACCTGGGGCATTTTCCTGCTTTCCATCCCTACGCTTCCTTAACCTGTCAGTTACGCTGTTGGGGAAAAATGACCAAGAAGGAATTCAAGAGTCAGCCTTTGCTCAAAGAATATTAGGCCAAGTTGGAGAAAGAACTCCTATGCATACCATGGAAGTGTTGGATCTCAGTGGGACTTTTCTTCAAGAAAGTAAGGCTAAGGAATTTTCTGGGAATGGGCCTGAGATTTTAACAATAAACATTATAGTGGAGAATTTCTGGGGCGTAAAAACCTTTTTTAATGATACTCCTCATCTGCAACTTAGGTGACTTTGGGGAACATTGAAAAGTGAAATGGCTTTTCCCATGGTCAAATGGCCAGTGTACGTATGAGGCAGAACATGAACTGAGATCTTCCTGACTCCAAGGCCACTGTGGCTCTCAAGCAAAGTTGTGACTACAAAAGTATACACCCACATACACTCTCTCTCTCTCTCTCTCTCTGTAGTGTGTGTGTGTATTTGTATAAGTGTATAAGTATATATATTTATTTTTAATATATTGTGTATATATATAATACAATGCATAAATATATATAATATAATACTTATAGTATTACATAGTCTATTATATATTTACATAGACTCATATTTATATATAATTATAATTATATTTATACACATATACATATACACACATATATCTGTGCATGTATATAAGTGTGTATATATGCATATGTATGCACACATACACACATGCTTTTGTATTCATATCTTCATTGCTTCAGAGACAGAGTGGTCAGAGTGGCATCATAACTAGAGGGCTGGCCTTGGATTCAGGAAGATTCCAGACATGTGTTTTTATGTGTATATAAACACATGCATACATGGACATATATAATATATATATATATATATGAACTTAAAAGTGTCTGTCTCTGTGTGTGTGTGTGTGTGTGTGTGTGGTGTGTCACAAGGGGATGAAGAGGAAAGCATAGTACAAAACTGGTTTTTTAGTGAATAATAGTAACCAATGCAGTCTTAGGAATATATACATATGCATACATAGATACATATATATATATATATATAGTAATTGCTTGAAATTTAGTAGGTACTCAGGAAATAATTATTAATTGATGGACTTGATAGACTCAAGTATACACTCTAGGTTCAGACCACTGAAAGGCCAGTCCTTTCCCATACTTCCTTATTTAATTGGCCTACTGGAGAAAGAGAACACTGGACTTGGAGTCAGGAAGACTTGAGCTCAAATATCACCTCAGACATTTACTAACTATCTGACTGCGAGTCACTTCACTTTTCTTTGCCTTAGGTTTTCTCATCTATTAAGTGGGGATAATTGTGCATAGCTCGCAGGGTTTTGGGGGCAATTAGGTGGTGCAATGGATACAACATCAGGCCTGGTGTCAGGAACACCTGAGTTCAAATTCAGCCTCAGACACTTGCTAGCTGTGTGACCCTGGGCAAATCACTTAACTCTGTTTGCTTCAGTTCATATCTGTGAAATGAGCCAGAGAAGAAAATGGCAAACCATTTCAGTATCTTTGCTAAGAAAACCCCAAATGGGGTCACAAAGAGCTGAACACAACTGAACAACAACAAAAATAACAACATAGGGTTATTATGCGGGTTAAGTGAAATAACATAAGTAAAATATTTTGCAGACCTTAAAGCACAATATAAATGCCCATTATTGTTGTTATCATTACCGATACAAATTAATTTCAAGGAAAGCAGATTTTTTTCCACCATAAATCCCACTTAAGAGAAGCAAGAAAATTTAGGAAGTGGAATGGAACTCAGAAGGTGAAGTTTTTGGTTTTGTAGGGTAGTCAGAAAATAAAATCAATCAAAAAGTAAAAAAAACAGTAGTTTGCCTAACAGTATTCCTTTACTTCCACTAATTACCCCATTCTGTTTCATATCTGCACATTATTAGCTACTTGAGAGAACTGTGCTGGGTTTGATTATTCTTTAGTTTTCTTTTTATGATGTAAGGGGAAAGATGCTAGGCTGACGGTCAGAAGGTCTAGGTCCCAGTCCTGACTTCTCTTTACTAGCAGAGTAACATTGAGCAAGTAACCTCTCTGAGCTTCAGTTTCGCCTCAGGTAAATGGGGCTGGATTTGGAATCAGAGGACATGGCTTTGAATTCTGGCACTGCTATTTACTGCCTGTGTGACTTTGGAAAAGTCACTTCACCTCAATTTTTTCCTCAGTAGAATGACAGGGTTTGGACTAGATGACCTCTATGTCTCTTTCAGCTCTAGGTCTATGATGAGCCTATTATTCTGATGATGATGTTGGACTAGATTCCAGTTCTGTGCATCAATGAGAGGTAATAGTCTTTCATTTCTGGATCCAGTCCTTCTCATAAGCCATATTTTCTAGTTGAGATTCTAGATTAATGACTGACTAAGGAATCTAGAATGTGGTCTTTTGAGTTTCACTTCAAAGTTCTAATTAGCTCTCACATTCATGAAATTATACCATTTGTCAATTCTGTCTTGTTGTTTTTAATGAAACTAACTCCCTTTTAGGGCCCGTTCCCTTTTGCTTCCCTTTGTATGGTCAGTAGTTTTCCCTGTGTTTCAGTCCAGCTAGGATGGACCAGAGACATACCAAACCTCAGCTTCCTCTACCTGAAGAGGATGGCAAGACTGAAAAGCCTTGACGGGGAAATATTCAAGGCTACACCTAACCTGAAAGTACTGGATTGTCAAGACTCTCAAGCCCTGAGTTTTGTGAAAACAGAAATATTTGAAGATACTCCTCATTTGCAGTCTCTTCTACTCCAAAAGTAAGTGTTTCTCGGAGCAATCTCAGATCCATATGCTTCGTGTTTGTGTGTCTGCATTTGTGAAATCCTAAGGCATTAATGATTTAATACCTTTCATTTATGCCAAGTAATTTTTATGGACATATCAGTATCTCAGGTTATCATGGCATCCACAAAAAGGAATGAGGAAATTAATTAATTATCCTTTTCTCTCTATTCTGAGACCTTTTTATTTTAAAAGAAGAACCTGGAGAGACACAACTCAAAAGGAAAAAAATCACTAATGGGGGGAATATGAGACATTATGTCCCTTGAATTGGTGAGATTATTTGTGGGTAAGTGAGCCTTCACAGGTCCCATGGATTATGCCACATAGGCAGTTGTCAACCATATCCAGAAGAATAGTTCCTATACTGTGACATCCCTTTAGACAGGCCACACTGGAAACCAAAGTCAATCCAAGCTATCCATCTTTGTAGTTAAGTCTAAAAAGGGAATTACAGCCTGGTTAAAGGCATAGACATGTATGCAGCAGCTTGAATCTCAAATCTTAGCCTGAGCTTTCAAAGATTTATTTTGAGGTTTATTTTAGCTTCTGACAGTATAGCTTTCAGGGTCATTGTTAAATTCTGACTTAGAAATAGCATGGTAGGATAAGGTTTCCAGTTCTCTTGTATGCGAATGTGCAGTTCTGGTTTAGCAGCCCCATATCTTGGAATGTGTGGGAGTATTGGTGTAGAACCCTTCAGTACCTGGTACCACACGAGAACAAAGCATCCATGATGACTGAGTAAGGAGTAGTTTAGGGAGAGAAAACTGAAACTATGGGAAATTCAGAAGCCAGAAACTATGAAAAACTAGAAACAGAGCACGTGCCAACATGGGGAAAGGGGGCCATGAATCTGAGGAAGGGTAAAAAGGAATGGCCAGGTCTAGGATTGGTACTACTTATATATGTATATAGGAAATGACTGCTGAACCAGATTTCCCTTTGCCTTCTTGGAAAAAAAAAAAAGGCTCCTTGTTTTTTTCAGTAAAAATGCCCAGTATTCCAGTACTTACAGTAACTTGTTTGTGTATGGTCTTCTGGAGGCCCATTAGTTGTTAACTTCATAGGGGCAACACAGTAACCTATTGGCATATGCTAAGATATTAGCTAACCAGACAGTTCTAGGGGAAGAGAGCAGGGTCCTGAGGGAACAGCACTAAGAACAGATACATTTTTACTGGTTTTCCTCCTACTTTGTCAGACTGGTAAGATGTATTTTCACTGTCTTGTAGTCCCTCCACTGATGCAGGTCACAGCCTCTCCGTGACTTTTCATTCTGTGGGATTCTTGTCCATATTGTGTAGCACAGAAGATATACCCAATGTACTACAGGCCTTCTCCTGATTCCTTTTCTGTTTCAGAGGTGTCAGTACAAGAGGCAGCTGGAATAGACTTGGAGTCAGGATTATCCAAATTCAAGTCTCTCCTTTGATTCTTAGCTACAGGGCTTGAGGAAAGTCATTTGACCTTCTTGTGCCTCAGGCAAGTCACTGGCACTGAGCCATGAAATCACAAATGTGCTGTCACCTGTGTAGACCTAGGAATTCCCTCACTGGTAATTCCTAACACTGCCCTTGAGCAATCCCTCTGTTCTTCCAAACCAGTGCAACAATTAAGCTGTCCATCTTGTCACATATTTTTGTGACATTATTTATCCCATCCCTCATTTTCTGGTCATACATGTCTTTAATAGCTTTTATGCCACACATAATTCTAAGTAATTTGCTACAGCCTACATACATACACCAAACATTTTTCCACTTGCTTGTGGGCTATTTGAAATTTTATTTCTCCTGAGATAAGGTGTTCCATTATTGGGAGTCATTTCTCATTCCTGGGAGAATATTGGTGTAAAAAAGAAGGCTTTTGTGGTACACAGTAGTTAGCAAACACTGAAAGCACCATGCGTTTTTTCCAAATGTAATCTAGTTTGATCCATTTCTACTAAATTCTAGGCCTAATTGTGCATTTGTAGTACTTCTCAAAGTTGTACATATTAATGCATTATTTTAATGGGCTTCCTATCCTCATACAGGTCAATATTCATTTTTCATCCATTTTGTTTTTGATAATAAATTCAGTGCACTTTCCACCAGTTGTTTCCATTTTGATGTGAGGGAAGGATGGAACTGGTTATATTTTGCCTAGGGAGCAAGTCTAGTTTTGTCATCAATCACCAGAGAATAGCAGGCAGTGGGGCATCATTTAGGGAATTGGCGGAGAAGAATGCTCTGAAAAGAAGGTGCTGAAGAAAAATTTTATAATTTTGCTGAGATCTGATCCTGGCCAGAGTTATCCTAAACCTTGGCTCAGGCTAAAAACTGTGAGACTGCCTGAAGAATCAACTGAAATTGAGGCAGTTAGGTGGTGCCATGGATAGAGTGCTGGTCCTAGAGTCAGAAAGACTTGATTTTGTGCTGGGCCTGGAATCAGGAAGATGGGAGTTCTAATCCTGCCTCAGATACTTACTAACTGTGTGACCCTGAGCAAGTCACTTAACCTCTGTCAGCTTCAGTTTCCTGAATTCTAAAATTGGAATAATAATAATAGCACCTACTTCACAGAATTAAGAATCAAATGAGACATTTGTGTCTGGTACATAGTATGGCAGTAATTAGTGCTGGTTCCCTTTCCTCCTCTTTGCCAAATATATTGACAAGACGCTTGACATGCAGATTAGAGACCTTGCTTATTTCTTTTACATTACTAAAAATGAGAAGGATCTTCAATAGGAAAAACTAGATTTGAGTCAAACAAGTGGAACATTCTTTTTCTTTAAAAAAAAAAAAGGCATGTCACTAGCCAGTAAAATGTATGATAACTTATACATAATAGGCACTAAATAAAAGCTTATTAAAGTGAATTGAATTGAACTGGCTGTATTGTCAGCAAAGTTCCCATTTATCCACATTATTTCATGCAACTCCACCAACCCTAGGAGAAAACTGTTATTGCTATTCCAGTCTATAAGCAGTCATTACTAAGTTACAGCTATTTGGGGAAATTGTCCTGGGCCATGAATTTTGTAGAAAAGAGTATTGCTGAGGATTCTATGATCATAGATTTGGAACTATAACACCTTTAAGATCATCTAGTCCTCTTTGTTTTAAAGGTGAGAAAACTGAGATCTCAAGATCACACAAGTAGTAGTAAGTGGCAGAACTGGGATTCCAACCCAGGTCTTCTCACCCAGATCCTGCACTCCCCCATTATATCATGTCGATTTGAACAATGCTCATTTTTGATGAATGTTAGTATGAGGTTTTGTTCCAAGATAATCACAGAGTTTAGAGCTCAAAGGGCACTCCTAATTCACCCAACTCATCAAACCCCTTTGCCACTGAGAATATTGGGGCTGAGAAGAGGTTAAGAGACTTGTCCGTGACCTAGACAAAGCTGAGATTTAAATTCAGGTTATCTGACTCCAAATCCAGTGTACTTTTCAAAACATTACCCTGCTTTCAATCATAACTTGCAGCAGATTGCCAGTTGATTGCTAAAAAAAAAAAAACAAATAAACCCTAAGGTTCACATGAAGACAATCTTCCCATTAATGTCCAAGGAAAAGTAGATGAACTCTTCCAGTTTCATACCCCACCTGCAAGCTGGAGGCTGACCTTTTTGTAACCTTTCCTCTTTTTACACTGTGCTAGAAGCTCAGTTTAATGATTAAGGTATACAAGAATGTTGGGGTGAGATGATATAATTCAACAAAGCCGGGAAAACACAAGATAAAAACAAAAACCCAGAGTTAGTTCAGTGAGGCCAAGGATACTTTCAGAGGTCAATCTAAAACCACTTTCAGTGGACTGATAGCAATAAGCTAATTTTGAGTAAAAGAACACCAAAAATTAGAACAAAATTAAGTCATGATCAGAGTTCACTCTCTTCCACTTGCTGAATAAATTGCTAGAGATCTTGAGGTTATCTCTGGAGAGATTGGGAAATGTGCTTACCACTTTCTAAAGTTAAAATTATTGAGACTAGAGATAGCTCGACATCAGTCCTAAATTCCTCCTTTCTACATTTTTGCCATCTTCTAAGGATATAGTGTCTCACTCTCTGTTGCTCCCTCTTTACACACACACACACACACACACACACACACACAGTATCCAAGTGTGTGCAATTGGTAGGATGATTTGACCCTAAGAAAATCTAAGGGATTAAAAAAAAAGTAGCATTAACTACTATTGTTAATGTAATATAACATTTCAAAAATGACAGGGAAATGTCAGTGTTAGAGGCCATCATCTGGGATAGTGTAGGTTCTCAATCCTTGTTAACCACAAACTTAAGTGCTCATTCCATAATAATTTATTGTGCTTTATTGTTCTTAAAGTGCTTTTCACAGATATGTCATTTGATTCTCACCAGAAGCCTCTGAGGCTGAGGTAAGAAATGGTTATTTGACAGAGGTAAAAAGCAAGACACAAAGGTACTAAGTGACCTGAAGATCATAGCTGGTTAATGGTAGAAGTGGGCCCAGGACTCAACTCTCTTGTCTGCTGATACAATTCATTTCCTATTACCCTTGTAATAATAACCACAATAATAAAACTATCTGACATAATTTGTACCTAGCCCCTCTTTCTCTTATCCTTTCTTTTTTGTACTTCAGCTGCAACTTGAGTTCCTTCCAACCATGGACTCTGGATTCCTCCCAGGTCATTTTCATCAACCTGTATGGCAATCCTTTAACTTGCAGCTGTGACTTGTCTTGGCTCCTCTCTAACACAGACAAAATGGTCCTGAGCAGGTAACTGGCTCATTATTTCATTGGTAAGGATTTTGTTGTGGGGGGGGCCTCAGATAAGGCTTACTCTTTACTAATAGCTCTTACACAAACTATTTCTGTGTTTCCTATTGTTATTGCTACTTTATGCTCTATTTGTGTTGTTCTGCCTAGGATTTTAGTGTATAATATTATTATATATTAATATAATAATAATATTAGTGTATAATAAATAGCACAGAAGAATTTTATTTCTCTGGAGTAAGGCATCAACATGGTCCTTTGTCACTGTTTTTCAGATATCACTGTCCAATTATGAAGAGAAAGTAGGACCCCCAGACTGCTCACTGCATTATCAATATATGCATTATCAATATATGCATTATCAATATATCCTATTCAAATGCAGAGCCCATATAACCCTTCAACAATAGTCTATATGCTAAATGACTTATTCTGATGGATATTTCACTTAGGAATTATTCATTTCCTTTATTAGGATGATTCCTCAACTGTCCCAAATCCCAGGACTGCTTAATCCACAAACACGAATACTATGATTTCTTGCTCCAGACTAAGAGTACTGAATTGGGATATAGGACATCCAAACTGCATGATAAGTTTAATTACCACTGGGTGTTAACAAGAAATTCTGAGATAGAGCTATGCAAAGGTTAATTATTCTGCTAGGATCAAAAAGTAGCTAAAAAACTTAAGGATATTTTACAAAGGGCTTCATTCCATACTTGAAGGATCTGGAATTTTGTCAGTATCCAAATTCCTTCCACTAACACAGATGATAGCTGCTCAATCTATCAATCTACAAGGATTTATTAAACACTACAGAAACACTATTAGGAGATGGGAATCTAAAAGCAAAAGTCTAAGTTCCTTCTCTCAAGGAGCTTATATTCAATCAGGGGAGAGGTGTACAAATCTAAGTATATACAAAATATATGTAAATAAATACAAAGTAAAAAAGGAAGGATTGCTTGATGTTCTGGTAAATGGGAAAAGCATAATTTTGTGGCTGGTCTTCAAGAGTTGCCAAAAAATTTATCACTTTGCAGCCATCCCAGTGATGAATCCTTCTGAACTTTGAGAAGCTAATCTCTGGGCAACAAGGGTCCTATCACTTATCCCATCCTGGAGGCCATTCCAATTTTCTAGGATTTGACAGAACTTGCACTTTTTGGCACAGCCTTTGAGAAATCTGGGTCACTTCCATGTCTAAATGATGATCCATCAGAGTAAGACCTTCAGGGAAGGACAGAACTTAACCAAACAATAGTGGTGCTAAAAAGGGGCTCTTAGAAATCATCTACTCTCAACACTCCCTCCCTCATAAATCTCTCCATGATGTTACTTCGACTTGATGATTTGTTCATCAGCTCCTGGAAAATAGAAGATAAAGTAATCAAAACAAAGAAGTCCTTCTGCATTGCAGTTCTTGTAAAGGTTAGGTGAGGGAAGTTGATATTTCTTGTGAGAAAGTTGAACTCACTTTTGCTTCCTCATCAAGTCCTTAGCCCTTTAATTACTAGGTAAAAAGTGAAATGTATGGGTGTTGGTTGTCTTTCAGACCTGTTCTTCAGAGCTGACCCTCTCCACAACTATGCAGTAAGGGAAGTTTATTGGTAGTGCTTCTTCAACTCCCTTCTCTTCATTAGCCCCTACTAAGGGCTCAAGGCATCCATACTAGCTCCTAGCTCTCAAATGGCTCTCGCTCCACTTCCATAGTCAGAATAGCCTTATGCCCCAGGCAGTACCTCATTATTCGACCTTCCTCTCTTCACTCCACACTTCCCTAGCAAAGTTTACTGCTCCTATAGTTGCTCCAAAGCTTATTGGATAAACAAATTAGTTTAAGGTGTTTATGGCTGATAATAGCTTACTACAGGTTTCTCTTCACAGTAACATTTGATTTCAGTAGGGCCCTTCACCCAAAGGAATGACTCATGTAGGAATCTGAGACCTTTTGGCAGGGATCAGGATTGGGTATGTAGAGGCCACTTTAGGTCTCCCTAAATCATACCAAAGCCACCTGCTTAGTCCCTCCATCGACCCATCATCAAGCTAACACTCATGTTGTGTTCTCTAACTGATTTGTCTCACTGTCCTAGGTCCAACGACACTATTTGTACTCCAGCTGAAGACCCTGACAGTACATTTTTGTCTTCTCTTTCCCTCTCCCAGCTGTACAGCATGTGTCTTTCTAAAAGAAACACAACCTTTATCATATCAAGCCCTCCTTCCTTGGAAAGCAGTGCTGATAACAATTCCTCTAACAAACCATTAAGTGGATCAAATCAACCAGTGACACTGGCTTCTTTCAATTTCCACAAAACAGAGCCCACAGCATATCCAAACACTACCAAGGAAAATCCCATCCTGAGCAAGAAAGCTACCTCTAATACACTGAAACTTGCTCTGCCTACCCACAGTGTTGGAAGGATAGCAATCATCCCTACAACAGTCCCTACAGTAGGTCCTAGTGACTTAGCCATTCCACCCAGGACTGGAAGAACAGCTCCAACAAAACTAAGGGAAGAAAATGCCATTAATCAATCTACTATTGGACCAGGTATCTCAGTATCTACTTCAGCCTCTACCCCATTCCCTAGGAAGCACCCCAGGATCCCCTCTCTCCCACACATGGTGAGCACTCCCCAGACCAATCAAAGGGCACAGACCACCACTGAGGGACATCAGTCAAGCGCTTCAGTCATAGGGATTCCAATCTACATGCTGGATGACTACAGTGAGGAGGAGGAGGAGGAAGAGGAAAGGAAGGATGTACTTAAGCAAGATAACCTCTGTGATTATCATCCTTGTAAGCATCTCCAAACTCCATGTGATATACTACAGAAATCATCACGGTGTCAGTGCCCTGGCCTCAGTGGAGAAGACACTATCCCAGACCCACCTAAACTCCAGGAGGTGTCTGAGACCACTGATACATCCACACTCATTCACTGGTGTGCACCCAATTCAGTGGTGCGAATGTATCAGCTTATCTACCACCGTGAAGACAGAGCAGAGAAACAGACAGTGCTGAAAGAGATCTATGCCATAGCCAGGGAGCACCCCTTGCATGGGCTCTCACCAAGTACAACGTACAACGTGTGTGTGTTGGCATCTAACAAAGCAGGTCTGAGTCTAACCAGAACCAGTGAATGGAGAAAAGCATGCACCACATTTACAACAAAGCCAAGTTTCTTATTCATTTTTGCAGGTCTGTGCAGCACAAGTGGACTACTTTTACTTAGCACCTTTATACTGTCTGTGTGTCTTTATAAGAAGTGCAGAACAAGACATATGGAACAATATGATACACATCTTGTCTCCTACAAAAACCCAGCATTTGACTATCCATTAAAACTTCAGACTTTCAATTAGCCTAAGAGAAATACCAAGAAGGCCTTTGCCTAAAAGCTCACTCTAGCGAACTGGAAACCTTTGATCAAGTTAGGTCAAAGTCCTACCAAGGAAAAACAGAGGAGATTGATGGCCTCCAAGGACCCTGTTAGTGATAAATTTGTGATCCTATGATTTGTCACTATGAACACTACTGCCTTCTGCTTCCAGAGTGCTAAAGAATGTAATCACCGGTTTCCAAATCTTCCTTTTTGACTACTCCACTTCTGGGAATAGGTAGAAAATGGAGGGAAGCAATTTTATGTGCAACACTAGGTCATTCCCAGAGCTCCTCAGATAATTGCTGGTCACTTTATACTTCAAGAACCCATCAATTCATTGTATATAGGCACTCCTTTCAACCTGTCTAGATTACAAGAACTGACAATTTTATAGTGCTTTAAGGCTTGGAAAGGAGCTTTATAGCCATTATCTCCTTTGAGCCCCTCAACAATCATGTCAATTGAGTACTACAGCTTTTAGGAGATAGGTCTTAAACAAATAATATGACAAATAATTTTCACCCTATTGCCAAACTGGTGATGGGTCTTCTCCAAACTCAGGTTCATTCTTAAGACAACAGACATATCGTCTTTCCATATTGAGTCTTTCCATACTGTCTGGAGTACTAGGTATAGCAGTTCAGTTCAGTTCAACATTTATTGGATGTCTGCTAAATGCAATCTGATGTACTATCTGGTTAAGCCCTTGAATATTTCACAGATTGGTGCCACCTCAATATTTAATAGAAACATATAAATAGAAATGTAAAATCCTAATGTGAGCAAAGGACTCTCACATTACGGCCTTGCCTTCTTTAAGCATCAAGTCCAGCTAAGATATAACTGATAACATGACACCGGGCAAGGGATTTGTACAAGGATTTGAGTGGATTCTTCCCCTGAAGGTTGGAATATATGGATATAAGTATAGACAGAGCTTCTAGCTATATTGGCTGGGGGTAAACAGGATTCCTGGTATATCAATTTCACTTCTATGGCTAAAATATCCTGCTTTCAAAAGTCAAAATACCAGTACCAACTACTTTCCAGAGACACAAGCAAGGTGTCTACTCTGTTCTTAGTACCTGGGAAAAGCAACATCTACTCCTATGAACTTCAGTCTATAAGATTCTAAAAAAGATCTAACCTACTAGTGAGAAAAAGGAAACAAGAACACATTTTGGGGTTTTAGTGTATTAAACATGGACAAAATAAATTCTTATAAGTATACCTGTAGATAAAAACAATTCTCCTTCTAGTCTTACAAACCATGCGATTTTGATTTCTTATTGTTTCTTACTTTCACAAAAACAAAGAATAAGTAAATATTGCTTAAAGCCTTTAATGGTGGCTATATTTACTGAGTTTGGTTTACTGCTTTAGGATTTATTTGTATAGAAAAAAAACTTTCTTCAAACTGCTATACTCACATTTGTAAAATGGTAGAATCAATGTGGTAACACTGTCATAACAAACAGCTGAATCATATGGTCTTTTTATAGATGTAAAAAGTTTTAAAAAGCTACATGAAAACCTAAGATAATCTGATGATTTGGACTCAAGTTACACAGGCAATATGGTACATGAGCTTAAGATATTTTACAAATTGGTCCAAACCCTTTTCACCCTAACATGCAATCAAAACATACATATTCCATCTGTGCTTAGACTAACAAATAGTCCTCTCACAAATCCCACCTATGTGTAAATGATATCCTATTAAAAAAAAAAAAATACCCAGGCAAGGTAATGTACATGATATGTGAGCAGAGAATGAAGACAAGGAAGGTGTGCCTCTCAAACCTAACCCTAGCCCTGTGCTATCTTACAGTTCAGCTCTACAATTCTATAACTGAATTAGATTTAAAATCAACCAAAATTTGGCAGTACAACACAAAGTAATGTCAATATTTATGGTCTAGGGCTTCAGTTGTGCTCCAAGTTGGGTCAGATCACCTAAAGGTCAGTCAGAAGCTCTGGGAAGTGAAGAGCTAGTAAACATCAGAAGTGAACATTTTATCACACAAAAGGTTGCCAACCCATTATCTACAGCAATAAGAAGCATACTGAGTATATAAAATCTTTTTATATCAATATATAACCTTATAACACTATATAATTTGTGTTAGCATTCCCCTTCATAATATCTTCTATCTAAAGGCAACTTACTGTAATGCTTCTAAATTGTTACTTTTGCTGGCTAATCACAACTTTTTCAGCATCTCCTCAGTATGTAAACCTAGTTAGAAAAACCCAATACTCCTACTACGAAACTAGAATGATAAAAGATCATCTATATAGTTCTACTGTCAAAAGTCCAACTTGTTCATGTTCCTTTCCTTTGGAAGTCTGGATGTGTGTGTGTGTTTGTGTTTTAAGGTAAGGAAGAACTACAGAGAAGGTAATAATAAAATTTACCTCTATCCAAAGGACAAGCCTTAAAAAATAAAGTGGAAAGTACAATATTTTGCTGCTCACCACTTAACCCAGGATAGGGAAAGAAATGTAGAAAATACCCAGAAAGCTATTAATTGTTGAAACAATGCCTTACTGTATCACTTTCTATAACAATAATATAATTTATATATAGCACTTACATAGTGCTTTAAGGTTTGCAAAGTATCTTACAAATTCTATTTAATTTTGCTATTAGCACACTCATTTTACAGATGAGGAAACTGAGGCAGAAGTTAAATGACTTGCTCATGAGTGTCTAAGGCTGGATTTTTGAACTCGGGTCCCTCCTGCTTCCAGGTCTGGTTTTCTATACACTATACCACCTACTTGTCTCTTAATACAACAATGAAAAGCAGCAACTAAAATAATTTGCCAAATTCTACTTTTCCAGTTCATTTTTTATGAAGATTTCAGTTTTGGTTCATCAGTGATCCACATACCTTTACAAACTTTAGTGTTTGAAATAAAGAGTTTACTGGTTTGTTGGTAATTCAGCATCAAGGAAATTAGTAGGCTTTTAATGAAACAATAGTATTTTCTGCTATTTTATTCCTTTATTATCTTCATGAAAACAAGATTTCCTTAAGTTAAAAAAAAAAACCTTGGAAAAATACACATCTTTAAGTTATATATCACATGAATACAATTTCTAATATTATGAAAACTTGTCTATTTTAGGAACATAGTGCAAAGTCATAAAGTAATCATTGATCCTTAGTTAGCAAACAGTAATAGATAAGCCCTCCCCTATGTTAAGCTATAATTATTCTGTTACTCGTTATCCTGACATAAATAACAAATAACTATTAGGCATCAAAGATTTTGGAAGATGTAACATGAACTTAAGTACTCTGGTACGTGTTTGACTTTACTTTCAAAACACACTGCATCTTAAACCCTCTTTATAAAACTTTGCTTGTCATACATATCACCAATCTAACAAATGACATATCCATTATCAACTGCTACAGGCCAGAGATTTGAAAAATAAAACTCTTCACCTAAGTTGTATATAAGTTCACATTAAATCTTAAGTCCCTTCCCTTTAACTGACCTGGTAACATACAATGCTTTAAGAATGAAAATTCTACTTAATAAACAAGGGAACCTGGATATAAACTATATTTTCAGGAAATATTTCTTTAAAAAAATTCAAAATTGACTAACAATAATTGGTGAATTGTAAATTACTTTAAGAAATCTAAGATAAAAAATTCCAAATTATATTTTTATTTAAAAATACATTGGAAAATTCCACATATGTACAGTACATGATTTAAGCTTAATTTCAATGCACTTGACTTCAATTGGGATGACATTGACATGGTTTATGTTTTGATAAAGTCTTTTCCAAACTAACAAAAAAGAGAGACTCCTGTAGATTACCAGCTGATTCTGATGTAGATGTCTTCCTGCTTCCCAGCTAACAATGATGGATGACATTTATTTGCCTTTTATCACCTGGACTGTTTTCCGGCCATAATGATAATAACTGTAGGCTGATGCAGTTGTGGTGAAAGCTGTAAAACACCTTTTGTTGTAGGGGAAGTAAGAAGAAAAAAGAAATACAGGTTATAACAATTTTTAAAAAAATGTACCTGCCTTATACTAAACTTCCTTTTCCACATTATATGAGCCATGAGATAATGAAATGTTAAAATTTGCCATCAGTTAACAGAAAGTTTAGCTAAAGTTTAGTAGGCATAATTTTCAAAAGACAATTTGAAAAAATTATCAAAAGTCAAATGATCTTTTAACCATTAAAAAAAAGATTTGTGTTGTATGCATCAAACACAATCAAATATTTGAAAGATGGAATGGATGACTTTGAGAATTGTATGGCAATCAGTAATAACTTGTTATTGTTGTTTGGTTGTTTTCAGTTACGTCTGACTCTTTGTGACCCCTTTTTGGGGTTTTCTTGGCAAAGATAATGGAGTGGTTTGCCATTTTCTTCTTCAGCTCATTTTATAGATAAGAAAACTGAGACAAATAGGATTAAGTGACTTGCCCAGGCTCACACAGCATTAAGTGTCTGAGGCTGGATTTGAACTCAGGTCCTTCCTGACTCCACGCCCAGCATTCTATCTACTGCACCACCTAGCTGCCCCAATTAGTAACTTCACATTTCTACAAATGATGCAGAATAAAGCAAAACCAAAAGAATGACACAAATAGTACTTGCATAATAATGCAAATGAAGAAAACATTAAAAGGAAATGGTATTCAGTTTAAATAAAATATATTAATGCTGGTTTCAAATTATCAAGGTTCAAGCACACATCATTACTTTCTCTTAACAAATAGCTGAAAACACAATAGGAATGTATATAATTAGCATACAGGCAGTTTTGATTAACTTATTTTTCAAGGAAAATATTACAAGAGATTATTTGTGGGAAAATGATCAGTTGATACAAGCTGTGTTCTTTAAAAAAATCTCACAATTGCAAAGTATACACAAATATCACAATAAGCTACAACACTTAATACTTATAAAGTTGGTACATTTTCAATGCTACAGATTATTATCAATACTGTTGATACTGCTGACAAAGTAGCACTACAGATGAAATAATTTTTAAAACTACCAAGACAGTTACATTAAAATTCTCAGAGTGATAAATTAAAATTTTACCTTACCAAAGTATCTGAAGATAAATGCTGTCAACATAATTGAAAACTGGAGCTGCCAAAGAAGCTGCCACTAAAATTAACTGAACTGCTGTATTCACCTACAGAAAAACAAACGTTTAGGCAAAAAATAAATCAAGGCCACCTAGATCTATTCTCAATTATGTAGCACACGGACAAGTAGACAATGAAACTGGCTGTTTTAAGATAGAGCATCCACCAAATGTTAGATGTTGAACTGAAATATTCCTGATATAGAAATTAAAAATAACACATACATACTTTTCTTTTAAAGAAATTTTAGCTATTTAATTATATTGAGGATTTACAAATGAATACATCTGCAAGGTTATTCTATATGGATGTGAGAAGAATAGCACTAGTTTGGAAATAATACCAACATCATTCATTTGTATATTGCTTTAATAATTTTTCAAACTGATCTCACATGATCTCAGTTTATTTGCACAACCCTATCAACAAACATTTATTAAGCTACCTATTATTATGTCATGTATTATGGTAGGCTAGGGATACAAAAACAAAAGTAAAATATTTTCTGCCCTATGGAGTGAATTGGGCAAGCATTATTATCTCCACTGTTTAGATGGGGGTAATATAGAAATGATATAATTTATCTAAAGTCGTACATCAAGTTAATAGTGGAACCAAAACTAGAACTTAGGGCTTCTGAATTCAGTGATCTTTTCACTATACCACCCATCCCCTGGCCCATCAATGTTAAATATTCATCTCATTGCTCACCCTCACTGAAGCAAATTTTCCAGAGTTGGGAGGATGTCCCTAATATACGGGCATGAAAAAGGGACTACTAAGAAAAGGGAACAAAGAACATATTGACCCTATGACTGGAGTATAAAGAGACAACAATGAAGAAAGAAAACAGGGAAGTGGTATAGACAAGGGAAAAAGACTATTAGGAGACCATAACACCTTATTACTTGTGTTATACTACTACTTTCCCAACCAGGTAATAATAAAAAAGAGAACTACTTCAAAAAGGTGCTTATACTAACAAGAGCAAAACTGTATTAAACATCCACATACTCAGGACACTGTGCTAAGTGATACTAGCAAAGGTTGAGTGACGGAGGGGGAAGGAATCAACTTTAGAAAATCCATGGTCCCTGCACTTAAGAAGTTTACAGGGTTGCTGTGGTCACGAAAGAGGCATATAACAAATACTATAACTATTTTATTCTTATTACTAATATTATTACCTGGAGGCCTACCTCCAAGGATAAGACACTGAAACATTTGTCCTTATCCTTCCTTGAATCACCTGCCAATTTAGTGTTACTCCCTTTCAACTGCTGCTGAATATATAGCATTTAGAAGCCAAAACAATACAGACAAAATTAAAATCCCATTAGAGCAGGTTAGCTAAGTTGGTTACAACATGGTATTTATGAGAACAAGGATGTGATTTCCATCCCCCTGTAGACCAGTTAATTGTTCCAAGGCCAGACTCCAAGCTAACCAACTGGAGATGGGGCACTGATAGGGAAATGCAAATTGTTACTATTAGAGAAGCAGTTCCAAGTACATAGCATACCCTTATAGAAATATCACCTTCACGTACCAAAAAAAAAAAAAAAAAAAAAAAGCATATCACTACTAAGTACAGGTTACTGTGAAATGATGCAATTTTTGCATCCTGGCATCCAGCAGAGCAAATTGGGCATATATAGTCTTAGTGTTTTGATACTATCCTATGAAATAATGCTTTTTCTTGTTCCTTTGCATGTGATAGTAACAAATAAAAGTAGATTATATGTGATGTTTACATTGCAGGAAGGCAGCAGAAATGTTTTTTGTTTGTCCAAGACCAGTTACCCTTCCACTCTTCACCTTCCCCAATTCAAATATAAATCACCTTGAAGAGTATACTAAAATTCCTAATCTTCCAATAAAACTAATCATAAGACTGACAAAGATCTAGGAACTTGAGGAGGAAAGCCGGTGAGATAGAAGTATGTAGGTGACATCACTTTCTTCTAATGTGTCATAAGCATGTATCATTTGCTAGCTAATTCATTAAATGAGAAGCCATGTTTCATCTGTAGCTTCAGCAGATCCAAGGACCTACACTTATTTTAGCAAAATGCTATAATGAAAATTTTTTTTATAATCAGAGAAAGAAACAAAAAATCTAAGTGCATCTTTAATATTGGGAATGAACAACATAATAAAAGAGATTTAAAAAAGGGTGTAAAATAAAGAACTGAAAGAGTTTATATTGTCCTTACCTTACTGATGAATGTTGGCTTTAACCTAGCAGTGGCATAGCAAGGATTGAAATATCTAGCAAGTGTTCGCTGTGAAAGTGATAATAAAAGTTTGGATATGTAGTTTACTTTTGAAAAGAAAAAACTGTAATTTTTAGAAACTTACTATGATCAAATTTTATGTATAACTTATAGAATAAAATATAAATAGTAATATCTGCAATACATTATACATCAAGGTCCTGCTTTATGCAATCAAGAGATTAATGGAATCATTTGATTAAATCAAATTGAATGCATAACAAAACATCTGTTTAAAACTGTATTTTAATTAGAATCACTACTTTTAGTTTGGAGGATTAAAAATAGTAAAGTCAGTATCATTTTAAAAAATCCATCATATTTAGTTAGAATCTAGCTGGTGATTTAGACATCAGGCAAATCCTTTAGAGTAGTCCTAAGCAGAGTTAACAACATGCTGGCTTTTGCCCTTAAAAGACAATTTTTATTAAGTCTGTGATAATATTCAATTAAATAGATGAATCAATTAATTGAAAAGAAATATGAACTTACAAAATAAGTTCCTGCACCTTTTAAATTTAGTTGTATTTTCATGTTATTAAGTAATTACTTTAGTCTCTTTTATGAAGCATGATGATGCATGCTTTTAAAAAAAAAAATAAACAAACCACTAATTGAATCAGTTGGTTAAGGGATCAAAAATCATCACTAAAAGATATTTCAACAAATAGCCCCCACTGTATGTCAGAATAACACTTCAAGACTGTGGTCTTCACAGAATTTTTTCTCTCTATAAAGTTTTAAGTAATCTCACTTTAAAATAAAGTACATTTTTTACTTACTGGTGATGGAAGAGTCCTGTATCTGACATAAAAAACGGCAGCAATCAACACTATATCTCTTGAAATAATCATGTAAGTAAGTGAAACTGAAAAGTGAAAATGAAATCATCTTAACGTATACACTGTCAAGATATTAGGAGACACCCTCTTTTCCCGAGCTAAGGCCCAGCAAGCAAGCTCTACCCTGAGCATGGCATAACAACAATGCTTTGCACTCACCCTCTGACAAAATCACATAATTGTCATATTGCTTTGACCAGCACCAGGTGTTTGCTGAGGTCGGACAAGAACCTGACAAGCTCAGACAAGTAGCCATGTTCCAGTCATGAAGCCATGAATCAAACTTGTCTCATTGTTGCTGTTATCCCTCACTGTCAGGGTTGTAACTCACTTGCATAGCCACTGGTATGAGTATTGAGATGTCCCCACAATGCCTTGGGTCCCCTCACCCTGGCACAGGCATTGCAAGCCGTTTCCCTCACTTTGAAATTAAACTTGTCTGATTCCTGACTCTCCTGTCTCTAGCCTGCTTTGTTCAGCTCCAGCTATCCACAGGTTAGAGGTCAGTTATGTCCAGTTGACATTAATAAATGCATCTAAATACCCCATTTACTCAGTATTGTCAGGGAAAGTGTTCTACATAAATTTTCAAATTAAATGCAGTTTGCTCTCTTGCATCCCAAAACATTTAAATTCTAATCACAGTGCATGGAAAACTTTTTAGAATGGGTTAATCATTTCTCCATCTTCAAAGATTATACAGACCACAACCCTTTTCTTGATCACTTCAGAGTTTCACTGTGAACCTCAATTATTGTACTGTATTGTAATATACCATGATGCCTTCAAGGGTTAGTGATGTATACAGGATTAAAAGGCCCCAGAGGCTACTATTTAAAGTTTTTTTGGGGGGGGGGTGAGGCAATTGGGGTTAAGTGACTTGCCCAGGGTCACACAACTAGTGAGTGTCAAGTGTTTGGTCTGAGGTCAGATTTGAACTCAGGTCCTCCTGACTCCAGGGCCAGTGCTCTGTCCATTGTTCCACCTAGCTGCCCCTATTTAAAGATTTTTTAATGTCTTCCTCTTCACTTCTCAAGTCTTCAGCTATTCCTTATTGCTGCCAGGGAGTTTGCTTCTAAGAAACAATATCCCCCAATTTTACCATTGACTGATTTCCTGGGTTAGGAAAACATAACTGAGACTCTCAGACTGTGAGGAAGGCTATATCTAAATAGACTGAGTGCTGGACAGAAGGCCTCTCCTAATACCAATATATTACTTAAATTTAACTAGGTGTTTTATAGTATGCAAAGCACTGTCTCTCTCTCTCTCTCTCTCTCTCTCTTTTTTTTTGGTGAGGCAATTGGGGTTAAGTGACTTGCCCAGAGTAACACAGCTGGTAAGTGTTACGTGTCTGAGCCTGGATTTGAACTCAGGTCGTTCAGTGGATAGAATCCAGTGCTCTATCCACTAGGCCACCTAGCTAACCCCCCCCCCCCCTTTTTTGGCTAGGTAATGGGGTTAAGTGACTTGCCCAGGGTCACAGAGCTAGTAAGTGTTATGTATCCAAGGCTGGATTTGAACTCAGGTCCTCCTGATTCCAGGCCCAGTGCTCTATACATTGTGCCATCTAGCTGCCCCAAAGCACTGTCTTTCTAACAGCCTTTAAGGAAGACTGGTCAAAATATTAGCCCCCTTTTAAAGTATGAGGAAAGGGAGGCTCAGAACGGTTAAGTAACTTGCCCTGGTTAATTTCTTCTTTTTCTACCTTCAGATTCTACCACAGTAGCATAAAGCAGGACTTGTACAAATGCTCTTTATTTTAAGTGAAGAGACAAGACAAACTCAGGTATTGTATGTGGATGTTTCTGAGACGTTTTGGCTGTTCGCAGGCCTTTTTCTGTTTGTTTACTTCAAGGTTCTCTACTTTACTCTTGGCAGTGAAGCCACCCTCCCCTCACTACTTGGATTTCCATAGCAGACTGTGTCAGCTGTCCCCTTCCTCACTTTGACAATACCCTTTTTATGTGCTGTCCTTCCCCCATTACCTCTAAGTTCCTGGAGGGCAGTCTTCCTGGCTTGTACTTATTTGTATCCACAATACAACATGGTGCCTGGCACATAGTAAGTACCTAATGTTTCAACCCATCTAAGATGTCAACAGAAGTGAAATATAATTTTCCTATATTTATGAAACCACCTCCTTCATGAATCTTAAAACACTCTGATCTCTTCCAGCTGAAAAAATAATCTCCTCAAGTTTTCTTAGAGAACCTTTTCTCTTCTCCTTTGCCTTTATTACATTTTATTTTGGATCAAACTTATTTGCATATATGCTCTATCTTCTCATTAGACTGAAAGTTCTTCAAGAAGCTAATAGCTAACATTTATCTAGAACTTTTAAAAGGTTTGCAAAATGCTTTACATTTATTACCTCATTTGATCTTCACAATGACCCTGGGAGGTAGATGCTATTCTTACCCCCATTATATAGAGGTAGAAACTGAGTCAGATAGAGGATAAGTAACTTGCTCATGGTTCCACAGCTACAAAGTTTTTGAAACAGGATTTGATCTCAGGCCTTTCTGCTTCCAAATCCAGCACTCTACCCACTGTGCCATCTAGGTTTTTCATTTTTTATATTGCCAGTGACTAGTACAGTGTCTTGCACACAGTAGGTACACAATGAACATCTGTTGAGTTGAATAGAATTTTGTGTAATACAGATATAAAATATAGCAGGAATATTCAAACTTCTAGAGTTCTCATTTTTCTTAAGTAGGCGTCTATTAGGAAAAAATATAGTCATGTGTTTCAGAAAATCATGATACTACTTTCAAAAGGTTTAATATAAGAAAATACAAATGCAGATGTTATTTAAAAATAATTCAAAAAGGGGAAAGGACCTTTCTGTACAAAAATATTTAAAGCAGCTGTTTGTGGTGACAAAGAATTAGAAACTGAGGGGATGCCCATCAGCTGAGGAATGGCTGAACAAATTGTGGTATATGATTGCAATGGACTATTACTGTGCTATAAGAAATGATGAGCAGGCTGATTTCTAAAAACCTGGAAAGACTTACATGAATTGATACAAAGTTAATTGAGCAGAACCAGGAGAATATTGTACAAGGTAATAGCAATACCATACAATGATCAAATGTGAATGCCTTAACTCTTCTCAGTAATACAATAATCCAAGACAATTTCAAAGGATTCATTATGAAAAATGCCATCGTCCAGAGAAAGAACTGGTGGAGTCTGAATGAAGATGAAAGCATACTATTTTTTTTTTCATTTAGGTCTATATCTTCTTTCACAACATGACTATGGTAATATGTTTTGCGAGACTGAACACGTATGACCTCTATCAAACTGCTTACCATCTTAGGAAGGGGGAAGATGAGAGAGGGAGAGAGAAAAATTGGAATTCAAAATTTAAGAAAATGCTCAAAATTGTTCTTACATGTAACTGGAGAAAAAATAAAATAGTATTAAAAATAATTTGTAGTATCTCTCAGCAAAGAGTCTGAACTGTTTATAAAAAAAAATTTACCTTAGATATTTAAGTTCTGAGCATTCAATCTCTTAAAGAAATAAAAATTGACTTAGTGCTTACATTTTAAGGAAGAACAAATACGGTTCTATAACCAAATTATATTATTTTTTGTTGGTGAAAAATTTAAATTGGAGAAACTTTTGCATCAAATTTTCCTTGATTAAAAGAAATCTGTGGCCTATTATTAGACTTTATCACAATATTATTATGACAGAAAGAACATTACATGTCTGATTAGAGTTTTTGAATCAGATGATTTGTGTTCTAATCATGCTTCTGACACATAGTGGTTTTATGTGACCTTGGGCAAATCATTTTAACCTCTAAGACCCAGGCAACTATTATTAAGACTATAAGTTGCAAATCAGTTGCTGATATGCTTTGGTAGAGGATGTTTCTTGCCACTAAGTTCCTTAAAACCAAGAAATCAATTTTGTAAGAAATTTGCCACAATACCGAATATTAGTTTTGAGTTCTTACCTGGAATAAGATCTGCACATGTCAAGCTAATATATAGGACACTGATGAGTATTTTATCAGCAAGTGGATCAAGAGCACTTCCCAATGCTGATTTCTGGTTGGCCCAGTTTCTAGCAATAAATCCATCCAACTGAAAATAGAAGAGTTTTTGTTTTGTTAAACAAATGTCATCATTAATCTACAAGAGATATTTCACAGCAACAAGATCCTGCTATATACACCAGAAAAAAAAAATCACTAATGGCAATCTGTTAATTCTATGAGAGATCACTTAAAAATAAAGCAGCGTTCCTGGATTGCTAAACAAAAAATATGTTATTTACAAGACATATAAAATCAACTGAAGTGTTATTAAAATTTGATGTTATACACCCTCTCCCCATACTTCTTTAATTCATTGTTACACATTTCACTTCTAAAAATTTCTCAATTATAAACCTGTAATTTTCATCATTTCTCTACTATGTCAATAATCTACGTGTGCAGCTTGGGTGGTTAATACAGGTAATATATGATTTAGTTATACACTATTTTTAGTGCCTGTTCAGTTATTCCCATGTTCTATAGCATCAACAATCTCTGTCTTTGTATGAGGCACAATCCTCAAGAAGGCCTGAGGCTTCCAGCCTCATCATTCCACTGAAACAATTCCCTTCAAAGTTACTGATGTTCTATGAACTGCAAAATCCAACGGCCTTTTCTTATTCTTCGTTCTCCTCAACTTCTATGCAGCCTTTGACACTGTTGATCACCTCTTCTAAATACTCTCTTGTCTTTAGGTTTCTGGGACACCAATTTCTCCTAGTTCTTTTATCAGACCACAATCTTTTTCAGTCTCCTTTACTAGCTCCTCATCCAGGTCAAACCCTCTAACCTTGGTTGTCCCACAGGGTTCTGCTCTGGGTTCTCATTTCTCCCTTTACACTACTTCACTTGGTGGTCTCATTAGCTCCCATTGATTTAATTATCATCTCTATGCTGATGATTCTCAAATCTACCTATTGTGCCTCAAATTCTCTGCTTACCTCCAATTTCTCATTTCCAACTGCCTTTCAAACATCTTGAACTGGATGTACAGTAGACATCTTAAATTTAACCTATCAAAAACCGAACTCATTATCTTCCTCCCTAAAATCTCCCCATGTCTTAACTTCCTTATTACAATAGAGGGCAACACCATCCTCCCAGTTACCCTGGATGGAAACCTGAGTTTGTCACCCTGGATTCCTCATCATCTCTCATTCCCTCCCCCCCATTATCTAATCTATTAACAAGACCTGTTAACTTCACTTTTGCAGCATCTCTCAAATATGTCCCTGTGTCTCCTCTGACACTGCCACCACTTTGGTCCAGGCCTTATCACCTCATGCCTGCCTTAATGGAATAGCCTGCTAGTCTCTCTCTACTCCAATCCATGCTCCATTCAATTCAGTCAACAAAGTGATATTCCTAAAGTGCAAGTCCAACCATCTTACCTCTTCTAATCAATAAACTCCACTGGTTCCCGACAGGGAACCTCCAAGATCAAATACAAGATCTACTGCTCAGCATTCAAAGTCCTTACCCCCCTGAACCCTTCCAATCTTCTTATACCTTGTTCCCCCACCAAGTATTATTTGATCCAGTGACACTGGCCTTCTTGTTATTCCTTGAACAAGACACTGTCTCTCAGCTCCAAGCACTTTCTCTTATTGTCTGGAATGCTCTCTTTCCTCAGCTCCACCTACTGGCATCCCTGCCTTCCTTTAAGCCCCAACTAAAATCCCTTCTTCTATAGAAAGTGCTTAATTCTAGTCCTTCCTTCTTTTAATATATTGTTGTGTCCCTGCCCCCTTTAGATTATGAGATCACTGAGGGCAGAGACTATGTTTTGCCTCTTTTTATATTCTCAGCGCTCAGCAGACTGTCTGGCACAGAGTAGGTTGCTCAATAATGCTTACAGATGGACTGACTGACAATCTGATCTCTGCTTATCATGTTACATAAAAATATGCTAGATAAATACTTTCTGATCAAAAATTTTGATATGGAATATTATTTTCCTGTTTACTACTGCAAATGAAATTAAGACAAGTAAATTTCAAAGCATAAACTTGATTGGTGGAATAGATTTACATTAAGAAAATACATTAATACATGTTTTGAATAGTGTATGAAAAATTACTATAAGGTTTAAAACCATTAGAATCTTTATTTTGGGGGTCTTTTAATGTTTTGTGTTTTCATCGAACACACTAAATATTGGACTGTTGGCAAAGTAACAGTAGACTATCATCACCTTAGTGAAAAGTTGTACGTTGTAGATATATATGAATAATGGGCCATCCACTAGGAAAAAATCTGGTAAACTACAAAGGTATAAGAAGAGTACTCAAGTACACTTATAAACTATAAGAAAAGGTTGAGTTTAGACAATAGGGGCTACAATAATTACATAAGGTGAGGTAAGTAGAAAGACAAACTAATTCAAGACAAGATAACTTCATAAAAAACACATACACACACACACACACACACAAACCACACCAGTTTGGCTGAATAGTCGAACAGTACAGTCTCACAGAAAGAACACAGGGTTCTAGTTCCAGCTCTGCTACTAACTAGCTATGTAATATTAGGCAGTTTACTTAGTTTCTCTGTGTCTCAATTTTTTCATTTGTATGAACTATTTAGACATGACAACACCTCAAAAATGCCCACCAGCTGTACAAATGTAGAGTACTATGTTATTGAAGTAACAGTTAAATATAAAGGAATACTAAGAATTGCTACCACCTGAGAATAGATGCATCTAAGAGATTAACAACAATACTGACTTCAAATTTTATAGATTTGTCTGATGATTACTGTATAGCAACATTCACTGGCTCTTTTAATAAATGACTACAGTGGCTCAATATAATTACATAATTTCTGTAGACACATATTATAACTCACCAAATCAGTTAGCCCAGCTAAAGCAAAAACTCCTAGTGCAACATTAAAATCTTCTTCAATAATCAAATAACCCAAAACTGGGGCCAAGGCAATTCTTGTCATTGACAATAAATTTGGGATTGTCCATGGGTTTTCATACTGGAACAGAAAAACAAGAAAATTAAAAATTAATATATACTTTAATTGTTTTTAACTTTAAACTAGTACTATCACATCCTAAAAAGATTAAAGGAGTGGTTTAACAGAAAGCCAATAATTTTCTGGCAGAATCTTCCCTCCCCACCAATAATCAGGATCACGGACTATGAATATACTTTAATTTGAGTCACTATTAATTTAGTTCTGTGTCTACCAAAATTTATTCAACTCCTACTAGGCATTAATTGGATTACACTGTGCTACGTCTTAATGGGAAATATAAACAAGACAGTTATTCTGGTTGCTTCTACAAGCAGCCTCCTAAGTAGAAGTGTGTCAATTAAGAAGAGAAAGAAGGAAAGAGAAAAAAATGCAAATACAAATTACTAAAAAAAAAACAAAAACAAAAACAAAAAAGCCAGAAATAGTTTATGCTTTCAGAAATGGTTAGGAAGGAGGTTTAAGTTTTGTTGAAGAATGGAATTTTAAAAGGTGGAGATTTCACGAGGGCATTTCATCCACTGTGTATAGTAGAATGAGCAAAAGGCAAAGAAGCATGGCTTTTGTTTGTGGAACAATCTTTAGTCCAGCTTAGACACGGTATATGAAAGGAAAATAAAGCTACAAAGGTAGATTGGGTACCATTATGTAAGGCCTTTAAGGCTGGTCTAAAGAATATCTCTACTCAGATGCCCTGCTGAAAGTTAAGGAAAATACACAATCCAGAACAATTTTAAAGAAATTTATGAACTGGGAAACTAAATTTAAACAGCACCCCACCCTAAAATTCAGGGCCTCCCTACTAATTTCTTCCACCAAATGTCTTCCCTAAGCAGATGTTTATGGAATATATTGGCATCTATGCTTCATCTTGAAAACGATTTGAAAGTTACAAATAGCTATTTGAACTTGAAAGTGACAAATTAGCTGATTTGCAGCTGCCTTCAAGAAGCTCCCATATTTTTGGCAAGAAATTTTTCAAGTGACAACATTTCAATTCTTAAAAGCTTCAGCTGTAAATGGTAGAACAGAAATACTCTTCCAATAATGTGACTTTCCTAAAATCCAACTCTGAATTGCTACTCCTAACTCCCTAATGGGATTTTCTTCTCATTCACCCTGAGACCCATTGTCCCATTATTTGGTGCTTCATAGAAACTTGGAAGACACATTTGAAAAATCAAATCTTAACTGAAAGATTCTAAGAAAAAAGAGTACTCTGAAGGTACTACATTTTTCTAACAGAATCTGGCAACCAATGTTTTTAAACCTAGTTTGTTTTTTTAAAAAACACAATGTCTGAAAAGTACTCTACAGTGAAATAGGACTGTCATTCAGTAATTCAAGTGGAATACAAATCTTCAGACATTTATTTAGGCCATATCATCTTTCTCTGTATCCTTCCCCAGCTACCTGTCCTACAACACATAGCATAATACACCTAGCACAGGGCAGACATTCAACAAGTAACTGTGGAATGGATTTTGTTCAATGGGCCCCCTTACATAATTTAACTGAACCCTACTAGGAGTGTGTCAAAATTCAAGTTAAAAGGTCACACTCTGTTTTCCATTGCCACAGTCCAAAGAACAAAGATGTACACTTCCAGGCACGGTCTGGTATAGAGCAAGTTAAACATATCCAATGAGACAATGAAGAAAAATGTGATAAATCACTTAATGGCTGAGGGTAATGAAATAAAAAGCAAAAAACAGAATAAAAATATTAAGCATTATTCTTGGGAGAACGAATGAGATAAAACAATCAAGGATAAACAGTCTTGTACATCCAGGTAAATTAATTTGATGATTATGACTGAAGAAGCTAGACTGGATCCCAAGATACCGGTGAAAGGAGTTAGTTTGTTTCTGCCACATAATTCAGGTCAGTTAGAATATATTACTAAATTAATTCACAATCATTAAGCTAAATTTGTAAAACTCTCAAAAAGTTAAAGAAGCTAATCTCAGATTACCCAACCAGATGACACTCAACCTGTGTCATGCTCGAGAAACGACTGAAGTTTATGAAGGAACTTCTGCCAGGATATGGCAACCTCAAACCATACAGCACTCAAATGCCAACATGCTTTAGCTATTAAGGCAGCTTATACTTCTGCCTTGATGTGGTTACCTCAAATCATGCTGCACATCTGATGGAATGGCCTAATAGAGGGCCACTGAAGACACAACAATTGAAGATGTAACAATTGGAGTGAGATTTGCTATCATGACGACAAAAGTTCTCCCACACTTAAAACTCCGTTGACTGACTTAATGTTTGGTCCATATTTAACAGATGCCAGGTACCAAATGAAAAAAAAAGTGTTGGAAAATATTTCCTATCTCAAGCAAAGAAGTTTCATTTTTATTTTAAAAATCAAAGCTATAAATGCTTTGATTAGAACTCAAAGTAACTAGTCTTTTTGGGGTATAGCTGAAAACCAAATAGTCATATGCTTAAAATTAAGTCAGCTGAAAGTTTGTGTTCCTGTTATTGATTCCTCAACAAGAAGAGTTCACTTAACGATACTTTTCATCTAATGACAAAGACGAAAACCACTTTTCAGCTCCGGCACAGACACCGCGCGTGGAAGCGCCGCCGCACGGGCCGGCTGGTGGCTTTGTCGCCAGTGACACCCTCAATGGCCCACGCTGGGATGCTCGCTCGTCGGGTTCGGCCGCAGCTCCGGGTCGGGCAGGAGCCCTGGCCCACGAGCTGGGGGAGGGCGCAGGTGCCGCCCCTGGCTACCTACCAGGCTCGAGGGACGCTGGTCCCACGCCGAGTTCAAGACGCCTTTGGCACCTGCAGCCTCCGGCGTTTGTTCCGGGGCCCCCCTTCCCCCTCCAGAGCTGTGTCCCCTTCGGCCGGACACTACCAGCCGCAGACCGGCCAGGACCCCAGTCCTGGGCCGGGGGCTGCCCGGCGCGGGCGGCAGCAGCCCCCAGTGGGTGGGCAGGAGGCCCCAGCAGCCGCAGGAGGCGGCGGGGCCAGGGCTCAAGGCGGGCCGGGGCCGCCTCCCAGCGCCCGCCAGGAGTTCCTCGAGGCCGCCCACCCTAGACCACCGCCGGGCTGCCGCCACCGGCTCCTCGGCGGGCTCCCGCTCGATCCTGGCCCCCGCAGAGGCCCCCCGCTCCAGGGACACGGGGCTGCGGGCCCGGGGCGCGCGCGACAGGCTGCGGCCGGCGCCGTGGAACACCCCCCGGGACCCCCGGCTTAGCCAGGCCGGCAGCATGGCCCCGCGGCGGCCGGGCGTGGAGAGAGCGCGGAAATCGCCTCAGCGGCCTGAGGAGGAGCAGCAGGAGCAGCAAGAAGCGCAGAAGAGCCGCCTCTCCATGAAGGCGAACCCTCGGTCGCCCTCACGACCCACTAGCCCCACGGCAAGGCCGCGTCCCCCGAGCGGACACCGGCATGCTTGTGTTGGAACGACCAGCCGCCTCCGCCCCCGTCCAGGTGGCCTCAAGGGTGGCCAGGGGCGGGCCCTTTCACGACACTTTTACGACAGCGCGGTGCCTTCCCCGCTACTTACCCCGACCGGGTCCGTTAGTGAGGACTGCGGGGGCCGTTACGGTGCCTCCTACTGCCGCGCGGAGCGCGGCCTCCGGCGGGAATGAGCGAGGGGGCGGGGCGGGGAACTGGCGCGAGGCGGCTGACGCCGGGAGCGGGCGCGCGAGCCACGAAGGGAGCCCCGGAGACGAGGAGAGAGGGGACCGTGGTCTGGGGACACATTCCATCAGGGAGCGGGGCGGGGGGAGGGGCACACGACGGGGGCCCGCGGATTGGGCGGGGAGACGAGAGCTTGCGCCCCCGCAGCCTCGGTCTGCTTCTTCCGACTGGGCACTGGCATCACGGACACCCCCTTCCTCCACTGCCTCCCGTAGGCATGTCTGCAGCGCTCCCAGGATCAGAACGGGGCCGCAGTTCCCTCGCTTTAAATCCTGCGGGCGCCCGTCCCGCTCCTACTTGGGGAGGACAGGTGGAGGTGGCCGGCCCCTCGTGGAGGGCCGGAGGAGGCTACGCCCTCCCGCCTTCCCTCGAGCGTGGGCCGGCCGAGAAGCGCGGCGTCTGAGCGCTCGGGAGCTCGTGGAGTTCTGAGCCAGGGCCGTGGGATGGGGCGCAGGAAAGGGAAGGCGGAAGGTGGATGTCAAAGGTGGGCTTGTTTCCAGTGTAGGACTTCTAGTCTATGCTGACGGTGTGTTTGCTTAGCACGGTGCCAGCCACATAGTAGGTGCTCGTTAAATGAGTGTAGCCTTGTTTGGAACTGTTTGGGTGAGTTGCTGTTGTAGCATATTCAATTGGCAACAGAAACTTGGGTAGGAAAGACTATGCTCCGTAAGCAGCACCCTATTGTAACGAGGAGGGATTTGTCTTATTTATGCCAGAACTATACACACGCAGGGAACAGCAATGAAAGTGGGCAGTGAATACGGTTGGCTCCAGTTTTGAATTCTTGTTTTGCGCTCATATCACCTTGGGCGAGTCAATCAGAGATGTGTTCTGTTTCAGGTTGAATTAACTTTCTGAAAGTTTATGCTGTAGCGCATTAATTTCTTAGACAAAAAATGATTCTGCAAAGTAAATCCTTCAATTGAAAATGAACCAATATAACATTGAGAAAGTGTTAGTAATTTGGAATATGGCTTTATTGTAATTAAAGTTGTTACTTTCTCTTCCATAATAGACAAAAGTCTATGTACCTAAGACAAAAGTGAAAGGAGTCAAAATTTTAAGGCATTAAAGTGAACAACTAATGGAGATTCAGAATTTAGAGACATTCTCTTAGCCCTCTCCTACCTTCACTAAACTTAAGTCACACCAGAATATTTTTATTCTCTTCTTAAGCATATCACTTGATACCTCTCCTTCCTTACTCCACAAGTTGCTGTAATCAGACTTCTTTCACTATTATTTTACTAAAGCTGCTTCCTCCATAAGTTATCATTTCTCTCCTTATTGACAAATCCCGTGGCCCTGTCAATCCACATCTCCGAACTTTCATTAATAATCACTCCCTTCCTTGACATTTTCTTCTCCTTTAGCTTCTGTGACACTGATTTTCTTTTCTATCTGCTGATTACTCTTTCTCCTATTGCTACCTAAATATAAATATGCCCCAAAGCCCTGTCCTCGATGTGCTTCTTTGCAGTCTCCTTAGGACATAGTTTTTGTGGGGATTTATTTAGCTTAATTACGGTATATTTGTTAGTGTAGGGAAGAACCCCACGTGTAAGGAGAAGCCTGTCATTTTGTATGTCTGGAGGCAGAGTAGACATCTCCAGCCTCTTCTCTCCCGCCTCCAAGAAAGATTTTCATTCTTGTCCTGAGACTGCTCTTCTCTCCTCTGAGAGGAGTGGTACTGGGCTAGAAGAATTATCTGTATACTCCCTTAAATGTTACAGGATATGATCAGGTTCAGTTTAACTTCGGATAGCTTTGTTATTTCCTTCCTTTTTTTTTTTTTGGATGAGGCAGTTGGGGTTAAGTGACTTGCCCAGGGTCACACAGCTAGTAAGTGTCAAGTGTCTGGTCTGAGGCTGGATTTGAACTCAGGTTCTTCTGACTCCAGGCCGGGTGCTCTATACACTGTGCCACCTAGCTGCCTCAGCTTTGTTATTTCTGAGGAGAAGGGGGACTCCCCCCCAAGGTCTATATCCAAGGCTTTAACCCCTTTACTACCAAAAACCTGTTCCACAGTTAACACATAGTGAATAGCAAAGAATTCCATTTATCCAAATCACAGTAAAACAGAACTCAGAGAAGGTATACATAAGAGAATGTATACCAGACAATACAGAGTGAAGGAGCTCTTTCCTTAGGAGCAGGATAACTCTGCTTAATCAGGATAGGGTTTCCTAGATCTCAACCACAGGGAAACGGAATCAAGCTGGGAATAGGTGTATATATAATGGAGACTGCAGCTCTACTCATGTCTTCCCAGAATCTTTTCCTTCAGCAACTTGAAGTGAGGTTGGCCTCTTCCATCTTCTGTCTTGAGCTGGAAGCCAGAAATGCCCAAAGACTCGACTCTGAAGACTAAAACTCAATGAATCCTCAGGGGGTACTGATGAAGACTGAAGCTGTCTTGCTTCTGGAGCAAGGCTGAGTATTCATCTCCACCAATGACCCATACTGATGATTTTTGGGGCAGGGGTTACATTAGAAATATTTTTTCCTTTTTTTTCCCCCTCAATTGAGGATAGAGTGAGCAAGGGGAGGGAGCTAGGATAGGATTGTAAAAAGATCAAAAAAAGGTCATTGGAACATTTTTTGAAATAGACAAAAACAAGGCCAGAAGGAATCACATAAGCAGGACAGCTTGGAAAGTAACATGTTAAATTTATTATACACTTAAAAAGAAAAGCAAGCTGTCCGGTATTTGCTAGTATCTATATAGTGCTTTAAGATTTGTAAAGCACTGTTACTTCATTTGAGTACCTGAAAGAGATTTATAATTTCATGCAAAATAGCTGGTAAAGAGATCAGGTGTTTTTCATCTTGTGTGGTTTCTGTGATCTTTTGGTTTTTTCAGTGTGGTTGCTTTGCCTCAGTCTGCTCCCATAATTTCAATACTGCATGAATGATTCTAACATCTGTTATCTCAAGCCTTAATCTCTCTCTTGACCTTCCAACTGCCCACAGGACATCTGACACCTAAAATTCAACCTATCAAAAAGCATACTTAATGTTTTTCCCACACAGTCACTTAACCACCCCAATCTCTATTAGTGATAACCACTATTCCCTGAGTTGTGTAGGTTCAAAATCTCATTTAACACAACTCTATAATCAAGTTCTTTAACTAAGGACTTATCCATGTCGTCTTGATAGTGGACTTGTATCCATCTACTCTTTGTTATTCCCTCTGCCTCAAACGTGGTTCTGATTCTTATTACCTAAATCTAGATGTTTGAGTTACCATTTAACCTTTATGCTATGCATATTTTGTATTATTCCATTACATATCATACTCTTTGCTGAAGCCACACTGAACTTGTTATTCTTTGTCTCTTACTGCTCTTTGATTTCCATACATTTGCATGAGCCTCCCCCTGGCACCTGGAATGGACTCTCCTCACATTTCCTGTGAAGTAAATATCTTTCAAAGCCTAGTTTGGTGTGCTATTTTTCTCCACAAAACCTTTCTTTATCCTTCCAGCTTAAATATTCATGCTGTCCTCAAATTTCTTATGCCGCTATTGACCTCTCAAAATATTATTCATATTCTAACTTCTGCATGTTTCATTCCTTCCCTACTCTCACACCCCCTCCCCCCTTTAATAAATTCCTTTGAAGGCAAGGGTACAGTCATTTCCTTTTTATACCCTTTTGCTTATTTCTTAGACACAACACTGTTTCACCTCTCTGTGCCTTTGCACTGGCTGTCTTCCAAGTCTGGAATGCTCTCTCTACATTCTCTTTAAAATCCCTGGATTCAAAACTGAGCTCAAATGTCACTTTCTGCAGGAGGCTCTCACCTGTCCCAGCTAAGCTCTCTTAAGTTTACCTTCCACCTACCCTATAGGCAAAATGTATCTATCTATTTACATTCTGTCTACCTCTGAGACAGCTTGGGATAGAGAACTGTCCTTAAACATAGGAAGAACTGAATTAAAATTCCATCTTTGACTCATCCTGACCCACCCCTGACTGATCCTGGGCAGGTCATTCAATGTTTCAGTAATCTGAGTTGCAGAGAAGGTGCCTTCCTACATTGGTGAAAGGAATGTTCTCATCTGGAAGTCTCCTATAACAAGGAAATCACAGGTCCAGTCTTTTTATTCCCCTGTTAGATTATAGGCTTCTTGAGATTGTTTCCTCTTTCTTTTTAGCACAGAGCTTGGTGCATAGCAAGTTCCTTTAGAAAAAAGTTGGGTTTTTTTGGGAGGGGCAAATGGGGTTAAGTGACTTGCCCAGGGTGACACACTAGTGTCAAGTGTTTGGTCTGAGGCTGGATTTGAACTCAGGGCCTCCTGACTTCAGGGCCGGTGCTCTATCCACTGTGCCACCTAGCTGCCCCTAACTTTTTTTTTTAACATCATCATTTCAACCTAAGGAACCTCATTGATGCAGTAGGTAGAGACATATACATATACATATATATGTATATGTGTGTGTGTGTGTGTGTGTGTATATATATCTATAGATATATATATGTAGAGTTATCAGTCTCATAATCTGAATATGTGAGTTAAGTTCTCCCATGAGGTATCTGCAGTTATGTTTGGGCAGCTAGGTGGCACATTGGATAGAACACAGGGCCTGGAGTCAGGAAGACCCAAGTTCAAATGCAACCCCAGAAAAAGCTGTGTGATCCTGGACAAGTCACTTAATCCTGTTTGCCTCAGTTTCCTAATCTGTAAAATGAGCTGGAGAAGGAAATGGCAAACCATTCTAATATCTTTACCAAGAAAACCCCAAATGGGGTTACAAAGAGCTGGCCAAAACTGAAA